GCTACCAGAAGGAGTAAGGGATGGAGAAATTGTTTATCCTGAATTATTTAATTTAGTAAGAGTTGATAGAGACCTCATTTTCTCAAAAAAACATACGGGTGGAGGTGTTTTTATAGCAATTCGGAAAAAATATAAAATTTTGAATATAGTTAGAGAAAAAGTACATATTTTGAAGCTCTGGTAATACAAGTGAAAGTCAATGGAAATAAATACACTTTCTGTGCATTATACATACCTCCAAATAGTAAAAATCATGTTTATGAATTGGCAGTCTATTTTTTACAAGATAATATAGAAGATGTAGAAAACACTTATATTTTAGGTGATTTTAATGTACCAGAAATTACGGGTATAAATTCTAATTACGCGTTTTCTAGTGATAAACTCAATATATTACATGATTTCATGGATTATAATAATTTTAAACTATTTAATAATATCAAAAATGACCTAGGAAAAACTTTAGATTTGGTTGTTAGTTCAGAAAATAATAATGATAAATGTTTAGTTGTTAAGGAAACGTTACCTTTTGTAAATGAGGATATTTATCATCCCGCATTGAATATTAGTATACAACTTTGTAAAGGTTCAAATTACAAAAATGTGTTTTTAAAAGAGTATAAAAATAACTTTAAAAAAGCAAACTTTGATTTGTTAAGTGAAAAAGTTAGGGATGCTAATTGGGATAATGTGTTAAATCAGATAGATGTAAACAAAGCTTTAGATAATTTTTATACTATTTGGAATATAATTATTGAGGAATGTGTCCCTAAGTATATAGTAGGTAAAAACAGTAAAAAATATCCGATTTGGTTCACTAAAGAAATTAAAGATTAGTTAAAGGAAAAAAACTATTATCAAAAATTAAGTTCAGTAAGTTATTTTTACAATGAAAAGTTTAAAGAAGTAAGAAAAAAAGTCAAAATTTTAATTAGGTCGAAAGAACGACAGTATTTAAAGCAACTAGAAGAAAATGTAACAACCGAGGTAAATGAGTTTTGGAATTATGTGAAGTGTAAGAGAAAAAATAATGATCTGAATTTAGGCAACTACATTTATAAAGAAGCTACAGTGGCTCATAATAAATCAGCAGAAATATTTGCAAATTTATTTTTAACGGTTTATGCCTCAACAAAAGCATCGTACAATCTAGATTTCGCAAATTTCAGTAATATATGTAACGACACTTTTGTTTTTAAAAAAATAACCGAATTGGAATATAACTCTGCGATAAAAAAGCTTAAAGCAAAAAAAGCTGCAGGTGTCGACGGAATGTCTCCCTTTATTCTCAAAGGTTGTTATGAATGGTTGAAACAACCTCTTTTACATATTTTTAACCTAGCTTTTTCAACCAAGGTTTTCCCATCAATATGGAAAATTGCTATAACTACACCCATTCATAAAACGGGGAACAAAATGGACATAGAAAACTTTCAATTATGTGTGCTCCAGCTAAGTTATTAGAACAAATTATATACGCAATGCTCTATAGACATGTTGAAAAATATTTATCTACCCAGCAACATGGATTCGTTACAAATAAACATGTTAATACCAATTTGTTTATTTTTGCTAATAAAGCCTACGAAACATTAGAACGAAGAAGTCAGTTATATACTGTATATACAGATTTTCAAAAAGCGTTCGATAAGGTAAATCATGATGTACTACTTCAAAAATTAAATACATTTGGCTTAACTACAAATTTCCTTTGTTTAATTAAAAGTTACTTAGAAAACAGATTATTCATAGTAAAACATAATGGAAATACATCTGGTAAGTTTTCTGCTAATTCGGGTGTTCCACAGGGTTCTAACCTAGGTCCACTCCTGTTTTTGTTATTTGTTAACGATTTACCATCTGTAATTAACTATTCTGATTGTTTACTCTTTGCAGATGATTTTAAAGTTTTCAAAACTGTACAGATAGTAAGGGATTGTGTCAAGTTACAAAAAGACATACATAGTATTCACGAATGGAGTCTTAGTAATAAGTTGTATTTTAATATAAAAAAATGTTGCGTTATGACAATAACACGCAAAAAAGAACCAATCACTTTGACTATATAATGGATGGAAGTAAACTTGTGCGTTATTCAGAGGTTAAAGAACTCGGTGTAACTTATAACAATCATTTTTCGTTTTCAACTCATATTAGAAATATAGTAAAATCTGCTAACCGCATGTTAGGGTATGTAATAAGGCAAACTGCTACTTTTACTAATACGAACACTATAAAACTTCTCTATTATAGTTTAGTTGGGACCAAGTTGGAATGTGCTTCTCTAATTTGGTATGGAGAGTATTAATATTCAATGAAAGAAGTTGAAAAGGTCCAAAACAAACTACTTAAATATTTGTACTACAAAACACACCATGTTAGACCAGATTATAATACAATAAGGTCAACTCAGTTGAGAAGAGAGTTTAAAATTATATCGTTGGACAGCAGGCGTTGCCTAAACTCGATGATGTTTCTCTATAATACGCTTAATAATAATATAAATACACCTGATATATTATCCTTAATACAATTTAACGTTCCACCACGTAGAATGCGATCATCGGCTATGTTTAATATTCCCTTTACTACAACCAGAGCTCCTCTCGTAGCCATGTTGAGAGTAGCCAACCAGTTCAATGTGTGTATGGATTTGGACTGGACAGTGACTAAGAGAATTTTCCGTCGAATAATTCTAGATCACATAGTAAACATCTCTGTATAGGAATAGTTATTTTAATAAAGTTGATTTATTAGAATTAATTTATTAAAAGTCATTTATTAAAATTAATTTATTAGTGTTTTAAAATTTGGTCCCCTACAATTTTATAAAACCTACAATTTTATAAAACTTACATATATTTCAATGTTTTTTGTCTATTTTTGGTATTTTCTCTCATCAGTGAGAGCTTAATAATGATACATTTGTATTTTAAATTTTATTTTTATCCATGTAATTAAACCTTTTTGGTTTGTATGGAAAAAAGATCAATAAATAAATAAATAAATCAGAGTTCCTTGACCAACACCTTCATTGCACTTCGAAGGTTCCGCCATGACAGGCGTTACCTTCTCTACAGTATCTTGCAACCGCGTTACTCTTATGGTTTCACTTCTTTCAGGCTACTCCGTTCCTTCCTGTACAGCCACCGTTACGGTTTTTCGATTGGTAGTGTTCTTTGAGCGTCTACGCGAACTGCTTACATTTCCCATTTCACCGCAATTCCAGTCTAATAGTCTTCGGTTTCTCCTCAATAAGGCTTTTTATCATGTGAAACAATTGGTCCAATTTATTTTCCTGTTCTTCTTCTTTTACAGTCCTTACTTAACTGTATCCACCAGAAGTCAGCGTAGCCGCTTCATATTCAAGAGCAGCGGACAAGACATCAATCAAAATTTTTGTGACGGGCGAAATGGAGTGTTCTTTGCATTTTATGGTCACTAAGTCCGTCTACAAATGCTTGAACAGCCAAACATTCAATCATGTATTCCGGAGCTGAAGGGTATACAAATCGCACCATTTAATATCTAATTCGAATTCTTGAAGGCTCTCGTCTCTGTTTGCGATTCTTCAACTGTAATAGGTACACCTGCTCCAAGTGTTCGTGGCCATATCGCATGTTCAGTCAAATTTACTGCCTTCTCTCGTTCAGACCATATTTTCGTCGAAAGTTGAGGTTTTAACACGAGCAGACTTTATACAGCTCCTTCCAATTTTAACTTCGACTCCACCTCATGACACTTTATTTCACCGTCCTTGACCGGGTCTGAATGTTCCAGTTTTTCTATCTTCTTTTCCATCTGTTTTAGTTTCTCCTTTGCAGAAGACATCTTATTTTCCACATCAGCAGATATTTAATTTTTTAGGGAGAAGACATATCAGAAGAAATTTCATCTTTCAATGAGCATATTTTGTTATCCAAATCCGAATAAATTTCGGTTTTTAAAGAAGATATGTTAGGAAGAAATATCGGACGAAACTTTAATTTCTAAGGAAGTAATGTCAGAAGAAATTTTAGTTTCCAATGAATAAATATTAGAAGAAATATCAATTTTCATAAAAGACATTTTACTTTTTACATTGGAAGAAATTGAAGAAATTAAAGCAGATGCAGCATCCGAAAATAGAAACGTTTCCGGGTCCAAACCTTCATTTTATAGTGCTTTTTTAAGTAGTTCTGCCAGCTCTGATTTCTTCCCTGTCGTCTCCAGTTCACGTTCTTTTAATTCTCGACGTAGCTCAGGCACTTTTAAATCACACAGGTTTTTAACCATTACTGTCCACTATTTATTTATAATCCTAATTCTGACACCAATGTATCGATAGTTTAATTTATTTATTGTTTATTTATTTAAAACACCCTATTTATAATTTATTTATGACTTACTAATTAATTTATATAATACTTAGGAACTAACTTACAATTCTAATTTATTTATTACAATTACCATTTAACTTTATTCGAATCTGCTCGTCCGCCGGTTAGTCGCGCTATTTATACCAAGTCCGACTCTGTAACCAGAATACTCGGGGCTGTCTAGACGCTCTCGAATGTCACCCAAAAATTCCATCTCTATGACTCGACGGTCACGTATTGCTTTTTCTGATATTTTCTCGAGAAGCGGAGCGTTTGTCTCTATACGTCAGCGGTGTTTTGACCATAAGTCGAGTGGCAGGCTGAAGGTCGCTTACTAGACACGGTTGGCTCCGCGCCACAGTACTTTTCCTCTTCCCACCAACCGATACACGACCCCTAAGCACTTTTTCTCCAACTTATCACTCAACTGATCTAACCTGTTGTATAAACATAATACCTACTGCGTTGTGATTGCCAGCCGTCGAATTAACACTCCTTGGTTAACAATATGGCTGAACAGAAGTTAAACTAAAGTGAAAACCATGTTGCGTTTAATATAGTTGCAAACTTATCTAAATTGGGTTTTTAGAGTTAATTTTATATTTAATTCTAAAATGTAATTTCTGAAACTTTATTTTGCAGGATCCAGCCACAGCTATTCCAAAAGGAACCCTACTAGCTCTCTTGATATCAATGGCGTCCTATGCCCTTTTCGTCATTTTTGCCGGTGGAGCTGCAATGCGGGATGCCAGTGGATACGTTACCGATTTAATCAATGGTACTTTGACCGATTGCGTTGCACATAACAACTGTTCCTTCGGGCTCTTTAACAGCTACGAAGTAAGGCTCTCAATTTAACAAAAATACTGATGTTATTAGTGATTTCGAAAAATTTCAGATGATGCAAGTCATGTCGAGTTGGTGGCCGCTCATATACGCCGGGTGCTTTGCTGCCACTTTAAGTACCGCACTTACTAATCTACTCTCAGTACCAAGACTAATTCAAGCTTTGGGCATAGATAGGATATATCCAGGACTCATTTACTTTTCTAAAGGATATGGAAAACATGGGGAGCCTTACAGGGGATACGTACTGACATTTTTCGTGTCTGTAGCGTTTCTTTTGATAGGTAGGTTATTTCGGATTTTTTTCAATTTATATATAGTCCATGGAATTGGTACTTTTTGCCTTACATCAAATGAGGTAGTTCTAATTTTTTATATGTTGGTAGTGATGAGATGGTAATGACAAATCCAAATTTTCCACATCGAAAGCCTGTCGGATCATTGTTAAATACTAAAATTCTTTAAGTTTTAGGACTTTTTTCAGTTTTTGTCAATTTTTACCACCAACGTTTTGTGTTACGGCAAAAGTTACGATGCACACTTTTTAAGTAGACTAAATTTGCAATGAAATGAGAATAATTTGGTTTTGGTAGGCCAAATAGTTTATAAGATACGGCAATTTAAAAGTTTACAAAATTTCAAAAAAGTATTACTTTTTGTTTAGTTTTCGACAATTTTTACCCCTAAGGAGTGGGTTTATGGGAAAAGTTACTTTTTTTAATTATTAAAGTCTACTAAAGTTTCAACAAAATAAGACTAGTTATGTCAACTTACACCTGATAGTTTCTGAGACACAGCTGTTCAAAGTTGTTTAGGTAAGTAAACAATTATGTACTTGAAGAGTTTCCAAAATAAAGTACGCCCTGTTGTGAAACAGGCATTATAATTTATTAAAATAAACATTATACTAATTATGTTTATATATTATATATTATATTATTTTATGTACAGCACAGTTAGGGAAATAGTTATTACTCGCATTTATTGTATTTTTGATGGACCAGGCTCGTCCTGTTAATCCACATCACACCTTTTGGGGGGCAGGTTGCTGAGGTAGAATTTCTTCATCGAACTGCTCAGAAAGTTCGAAATCGTTATTTGATGGTGTCATCAATAAATAGTTCATCAGTGTCGTCACACATCAGGCCTGGTATGTTCTCTCAAGATTGGCCAGTGCAGTAGCTACAAACAGCCGAGCATTTCAGTCCTGCCTTCCTGTAACCACAATGGCTGATACAACTTTTTTGCAGTTACATAAATCATATTTAGCAAAGCGTGAGGAGCTGGTGGTGCCATCATCTGTTAAGGAACGATGCCTTGTGTACTTCTCATCCAGTCCCAACCGAGAGGATTCTTCTCGTTTCCCAGCCACTTCTGTACCTGAAAGAAAATCAATGATAAAATAAGGGACCATGTATAAGGAATGTAGTCTGAAGCGGAAAGAAATACAGGCAAAAAACTTATTCTCACCTGGTGGTATGTTCTCAGAGAGTGAAATCTTGCAGCATCCCTGGTTGGAAGCAATCTGGCGAGGTTCATGTTGGGCCTAACTGTCGCCCTAGTGAACAACTGGAAGCGAAGATCGTTAAGATTTTGCGATTCTCTGTTGCCTCCATAAAGTGAAATGAGAAAGGTCCCTCCTGGGTCGATAACTTGCTTAACTGTGTCATTGGAGCTTAAGAAAAACTCTGCGTTTTATTCGAAGCGTGGTTTTTTTTTATTGTGAATAGAAATTTCTTTTTTCCTTTACCAAAAAGTGCTGATGTTGTATTACAACCGCTAAACACGTGAAGGAACAGTGCTATTCCGGGTTGTGATAATTGCGTAAAGGAATTTGTCGAGTACGTGAGATTTGGGTTTTTTCCTCTCCCACATTTTACAAATATAATATTGTTATTTGATCTGTTTGTTGGAAGGATGTGGTTTCCTCCATCTCGTGACAAACCACAAAGTAAGACCAACAAATCTGTATCCCCGCCGATGATCTTCACTACTTCGTAGGAAGAGGATATGGAAATGGCTGTGGTTACTATTAACCTATCAACAACTTTCTCTGCCTGTAATGTTAGAATTTTGTTCTTCTCTAGGTGAACATTCAGCATGTCGATGAGTCTAACTTTATTTCTGTCATTTAAGGAGGTCCTTTCGCCACACCTCTCGCCTCCAATGTTAAAAAAAAAGTTATTAGATTATGACTAAAATTAATTTTCTTCTAATAGTTGAAGTCCTTATTTATCTAATACTGAACTTTTAACTATACCTTACCTTGCAAATTTTTGAGGTTTTTTTTTTTTTTAATGTGAGTATTTGTACAGTGCCTCACGAGAAAGTAAGTCCTCAACAACAATTCTCGAATTATACTATTATTTATTGATTAGATGGAGTAGAAAAAACTAAAAATAAGGTTTTTGAAATATTTAGATTTTGTTTTATACAATAAAATATATATAGTAAACCGTGGAACTTATTGAGAAATTAATATTAAAAAATCACAAAAAATTTTCAAGTAACCTAGTTGAAATTTTTTTTAATAATTTCTCAATAAATTCCACGGTAACCTATATATTTTATTGTAAAAAATAAAACCTAAATATTTCAAAAACCTTATTTTTAGTTTTTTTCTACTCCATCTAATCAATAAATAATAGTAAAATTAATTATAATTCGAAAATTGTTGTTGAAGTCTTACTTTCTCATAAGACACTGTACAAACACACACTTTTTAAAAAAAAAAATTCTCAAAAATTTGCACGGTAAGGTATAGTTAAAAGTTCACTATTAGATAAATAAGGACATCTACTATTAGAAAAAAATTAATTTTAGTCATAATCTAATATTTTTTATTTAACATTGGTTGCGAAAGGACCTCCTTAATAGGAACTTGTCCTGAGCAACTGAAGCAATGGTTGTTTCATCGAATATAACACCAGAAAAGGACGTTGCTAGCGCTCTACGCAGACGTTCAGAGCTCTTGGTATTTTTGTCTGATGCGTCAGACGGATAGCCATCAAAAAATACTATTAATATATTTTGAGCCGTAGTGATTTTACAAGTATTGAACATATCTGGAACCAATTTCTTCAAAAGACGCATTACGAGGCCACACTACTTTGTGGAGCAGATATCCACCTTCTACAACTAAATGCGTATCATTCCTCTGTTGATTCTCATTCAGACTCACAGGATTAAAGGCTGAGTAGAATGATGACTTTGTACTCTTCCTGACTGAACCAAATTACATAATTGTTTACTTACCTCAACAAATTTGAACAGATGTGTCTCGGGAACTATCAGGTGTAAGTTAACACAATTGGTCTTATTTTGTTGAGAATTTAGTGGTCTTTAATAACTAGTAAAGTTACTTTTCCAATAAACCCACTACTTAGGGGTAAAAATTGTCGAAAACTAAAAAAACTGTAATACATCCTTTTTTTGAAATTTTGCAAACGTTTAAATAGCCGTATCTTAAAAACTATTTGGCCTACCAAAACCAAATTATTCTTATTTAATTGCAAATTTAGTCTTCTTAAAAAGTTTCTATTGTAACTTTTACCGTAACGTAGGTCCTTGGTGGTAAAAATTAACAAAAAACTCCTAAATTTTAATGAATTTTCAAGTATTTAACTGTGATCCGAAGGGCTTTCGAGGTGGAAAACTTGAATTTGTCATAACCCATTTCATCACTACCAACTCATAAAAAATCAGAACTACCTCATTTGATGTAAGGCAACACTTCTTTTTGGTACGATTTCCATGTACAATGTAACTTGTATTATTTTTAAAAATTAATTATCTAAATGAGTAATATTAAAATATTTTTCAGCTGAGCTAAATGCAATAGCTCCTTTGATATCCAACTTCTATTTAGCATCTTACGCCCTCATCAATTTTTGTACCTTCCACGCTGCTCTAATCAAACCGTTAGGATGGAGACCAACGTTTAGGGTAAAATGTTGTAATATCTTTTAAAATAAAAAGAAAATAGAATATTTTTTGATTTTTCAGTGGTATAATAAATGGTTAAGTTTCGCTGGCTTCTTGATGTGCGTGGTGATAATGTTTCTCATCAATTGGTGGTCCTCTTTGATAACTTTTGGAATTATATGGGGGTTGTATCTTTTGGTAGTGTATAGGAAACCAGGTATATATTTTTTAAATTATTCCAATTTGAAAAAAAGCAGATTTTTCAATTTTTTAATTCAGTTTTCATTGTTTATTTTTAGATGTTAACTGGGGATCTTCAACACAAGCCCAAACATACAAAACAGCTCTTACAACAGCCCAAAGATTGATCAACGTGAGTGAACACGTCAAAAATTATAAGCCTCAAATTTTGGTGCTTTGTGGATCACCTAAATCGCGACCGTTGCTTATAGATTTTGCAAATTTGATTACCAAGACCCACTCTTTGCTGATTATTGGAGATGTGATTAATGTAAGTACAAGTTTAAATAAAAAAAAAAAATCATATGCATATAAGTACCTACTAAATCACACAAATATTAAATTTAGAAAAAAATTACACATTTAACCAAATTCAAACTCCCTCTGTAAGGCTTTTCACCATATACCGGTATAGAAACGTTATTCTCTAAGTTTTCAAATTTGTTTTTGAACGGAACCAAGCGAATGGTTGGTTCTATATTACTCTTAGAATATATGTAGTCAGGAAGGAGAAATGCTAAACGACCTTGGAATCGCGATGGTATCTAATTTTGACAGTGAATTAGAGAAATATGGCGACAAGTGTTTCCGGTCTACCAATGACGTAATGTCATAAGGGGGCGTAGAAAAGAGAATAATAAATTCTCATTTGCATATTATCTAAATTTACGGATTTCTCTCATTTTAATGAACAGCTATTTTCTTGCGAGAAGTTTGCATTTTTTTAATTAACCATTATTATGTGAATTAATTTTACTTTAAAATTGTTGGGTGGAATAAATATAGGAAAATATTTTCGGTATAAATTATAGATGGATTTCATTCAAAAAATCAAACAATAATGTTATGTTTCTATAGAAAGAGGGCATATTTTTGTAATGTATGGAGTGCCTCACATTCGTACAATAAACTTCTAATATACGAAGTTACATTTATTAAAACAAATCTGGATATACAGTACTGAGCTCTGTGGGCACAGCAAGCAGCTGGGACATAGAAATTTTGCGGCTATTCTAGAGCAAGTGCTTCGGACTGTAGTAAATATATTTAGTACGTGTCAAATGAAATTATAAAAAAAAAACAGATTAGTTAAAGAAAAATGTCTCTTTATAATATTCCAAACAATACGTTGGTGCTTGATCATGTTACGTATGGGGTCTCTAATGGCAGACTTTGATTTTCTGCAATTAGAAGAAACATCAGAATTAGCCTGGACTGGTGAAACTATAATTATTCGCATATACATTAAACTAAAAATACACTGTTTCTTCAATTATGAAAATAATTAAAGAACAAATAACTTTTTACTTATTATACAATAAGGCTTTTCGTGCTTTCGAAAATTAACTATGATACCCAGCTAGCACAAAAACATCCCATCTACGTTAATAAGCTGCAATTTTAGGCTCTTTAAGCTCGCATGCAATGTACTGTTAATGTAACCCTATCATCCCTGCAACCACCGAATGTCCGCAACGGCAAGACTTTTATAGCACATCTCACAGAGGTTACAAAATTAAAGTTCGGAAAACATCACACTAGCACTTTTACGGTACTTACCCCGAAAGTTGCTCTGAAACTTTCTATAGATGTTATAATGTGAATTCATTCTACAGCATTATACAGTGTGTCCACGGATGGACTTAACAATACTTGTAAAAATATTTATTTTAAATTTAAAAGTACTTCTTCATAATTTCTTTTGCTTGTTAAATAAATACGATTAACGTTGAGAAATTATGAAAAAGACCTCTTGAAAAATTTAAAATAAATATCTTTCCAAGTATAGTTATGTCCATCCTTGGATACACTATATTCAAAATAGTATATTGAAGATATAGTAAAATCTGAAGAAAACAAAATAAAAAATTGTATAAATTTATTATTAAAAAGCTTTTGAAATCAAGAACCAATATCATACAAGTAGAGGTAGGTATTAATAATATAGGTAAAAAAACACTGACAAATTGGACAAAAGTTGGTACAAAGGGTATATAAGGAATATCTCAAAGTATCACTAGAATCGAAAACACTGAACGCTTGCACGAAAGAGTATAATAAGGTACCTATATTGCAAAGGTTCACTGGTAGCTAAAATGGTGCACGATTGTACAAAAGTAGTAAAAAGTGTATTTATATAAGGTATATTTCAAAGGTCACTAGATTTTTATTAAGATGGCAGTTGTAGGATGCTAAAAAAAGATATTTGCCTACAACTGGTACTAATCATAGTTTTAATATGATATAACTTGCTTAAACTGAATATTGATAAATGTAAAGTCATAAGGTTTAATAAAACCGCTAATATCATTATGCATGATTGTTATTGCAGGTTCTGAACTAAGTTTTGAGCAAACTATAAATGATCTTGATGTTATTTTTGAGAGGGACCTATGAGAGTTTGGAATGCAGATGTCGACAAGCATCATTTGTTTTCCTGTATAAGTTATTGAACGGTTTGATTGATAGTGACAGCCTGGTACACTTCTTCACACTGGTAGATTCCTTGTTTCTGCCAGACTTACTAGGCATATGAAACTATTTTATGTAAATGCTCATAGAACTAACTATGGACAGAATTTATTTGTAGACCAACTGATGTCCAATTACAATAAGTATTTTTCAAATTATGACATTTTAAAAGGTTTATTTTTTAAAGTGTCAACTTTTATTACACTATTGACTTCATTTTTATACTGTGACAATTTTATTAATTTCTTTTTTTATTTTATTTTGATATTTTAACCATTTAGAACTTTATGTATCAGTAGCGTACTGTAAACAAATAAATATGTGAACTTAATTACATAGTTTCTTCCGTAAAAATAACTTTGTAGATAATAAATTTACTTGTTTAATTATTATTAAGAAAATAATATATATATATATATATATATATATATATATATATATATATATATATATAAAGAAAATAAAAAATATGCTAGTTTAAATCGTTGCACCTATTTTTAGTTGATTTTTACTTACTTTGTTTTTTTAAATAAATAATAACATTTATTTTGACTTTTACAAATTTGATACTTAATAATGGATGTTCAACTTATACAGAACAATGTTTTTTAGCATGATATTCTGCTATGAAAGAAAAAGAAATAATCTCAGATGTTATATATTCTTCTTCAACCAATTCTGTATTAACTTTAGCTTCTAAAATTCCTGAGATTTTTACTAGAATTATAATCCAGCACAAAGGAAACCTAAAACACAATATTTTTTAAATTTATTTTTAGTGATTAAAATATTATTACACTAGGGCGACCATACTTACAGCAATTTTTCTGTATTGTAAAGCATTTTTAAAGTTTGTCCAGCAATTGGTATTGTGCAGCAAACGTACAGCAAAATGGCATAGGTATATATATCCAGTGAAATGCTGTATTTATCCACCAAAACGTCACTACTGTCCAGCAATGGTAATACTTAATTTACTGAAACATAACAAATTTAAATGTTATTTATCTTTAGTGAACTACATGAGCACTTCTATACTGCTGTTCTAGCAAGAAAGGTTTTATCTGCAAAATTAGCAGTTTTTTTTTTATGTGCATTTGTCTACATTTTATCTTTCTCGATACTGAAAAGAAATGTCTTATTTGCAACAAAGGTACTAAAATGTTAAAAAGTTACACAAAAAAAGGTTTAAAAGATAATAAATATAAATTTTCAGATAGGACTTCTCTTGTTAGGATGGCAGTATATGACTTCTCTGTTTTTATATTTTTATAATTGGGAGTAGGGTTGAGTATCGGTCAAAGGTATCAATACCAGTATCATGTGAGATACTTTGTGGTAGAGGCATCGATATTATGTTAAAGATATTGATATTTATAAGTCTCGAATAACAAAGTATCGAAAAAGTAAAAGATTTTTGTTAAACGGCTGGCAACCCCCATTCAACAGGACGGAGTAGGGAACTTAACTAATAACAAGAGTGCATCAGTAAAGTATATTCTGTAGTCGATACCTTTTCTTTCTCTACTGGTACTCTACCTGGTACAAGTTATAGTGTCAATAACTGGCAATTTACCTTATAATTAAATACCAAAAAAACAGTGGTAACGCTTAATCATATTACCAAGTTTCACCACATGCAAAAACTAAAATATTTCAGTACAAATATTTGAACAAACCTTATAATCTCTGACCACACACATAGCGATACAATACTTGCTTCTAAGTATCACTATGGCGATAGTATTGGTAATTCAGTGCCTAAATATCGATACTTTCATTGTTTAATATCGTTTCTTCTATAGTATTAAGGCATCAATAAGATCCCTATTATCGTGTAAAATAAATATTTCATCATTTAATTGTATCTACTTGTTTACAATGATTTATTTTTTATTGTATTTGGAAATTGAAATTTTACCATCTAAAACAACAGACAATAAATTAGAAAATTAGAAAATTTATTGAAAAGAAGAAAACAACTTACCAAACTTATTCAAACGTATAGTTTCCAATTTCTTTAAAATCTCAAATACCTACAAAAAAAAGTGACAAGTGACATTTTTTTATGTTTTGTTGGTTATGACAAACGAATGGCTACGTTCGAAAGTCCATAGTACTTCTCGTGGAAACTTTTTTAGCAAGTTACTTAATTACGTTGTGTTATCATAACAGGCAGGTTAAATACGTAAGTAACAAATAGATGTTTCGCGAGGTTTTGATTTCCCTCAACAACTTCTCATTAACGTTGCAATTACGTTGTATGGGTATGTTATTATGTTCCCTTAAAACAACATCGCCGAAAGACTTGGTAACGTTATGTGCTAGCTGGGTAAAATATCAGCTCGGCTTTTGTTTGACGAATTAAAGACCGGCGTCACAGTACTCGAAAAATAATCGTTCGATCGGTATGATTTGTCTGCTACAACGGCACTATACTGAAAATATGTCACATCTGGTTTTGAACATGCACGGTACATATTCATAGTGAAACGCATATATCGTTTTGCCAACGTACAAAAGTGCATAAAATACATATATGTTAAAATAATAAAAAATGGACATGGTTTTTCCATCAAACCGCAGAATTATTGACCTTTAAATAAAATTAATTTAGTACACATATTTCTAATTTTTTCTGTGTTGACTGCATTTCTGCAAATAAAATGAATTCTTGTAGTTAAATAGGTGTTAATAATAGTTTTAATTAACAAAACTTTATGACTTTCTAATGGAGTTCGATCATGAAATTTCATAGTAAAAATATATTTTGTTGTGCAAAATAATTAAGAACTTTTATGGATATAATTTCTTTATTAATTTTAAATCCATCTTTGATCTCTTCCTCTCTTAAAAACTTTTCAGATTTGACATATATTTACATCCCAGCTAGGGTAACTTAATGCTTTTCTAGATTTCTGATTAAAGTAACATTGCTTACGTTAATTCCAATGTCTGTCAATAATGTAAGTGCCTGTCTAGTCAAGGATACCTTTTGTTCACTGCCAATTCCTGCAATGAAAAAATATTAAAAAGGTATTTTCCAGGATTCATTTATACAAACAAGCATAAAAAATCCTTTACTAAATCTATAACTATGATCACAAAACCCATTACCACAATCTACATATCCATAATATTTATCACCTACAAATTCTGAATGCTATCTAATCGACATTTCATCAAATACTAGGGAAGAAACCAAGTTTTTGTTTGGATTGGCAACTTTAAATTTTAAAAATCCAGTATTTCTATGTAAAACCTGGCTTAGCATCTACTGAACATTACCACTTTGACAAAGTTTTTGGATTTGGTAAACTATTGTAAAAACTTTGTCTCACATAATTATAAGCTTTTGGAGAAAAGAAATGTAATATAACTAACTGCAAAAGTTCTAACTGAATGTTCATATATTTTTTTAACACTCTTTTTTTTTGAGTTTTTTTGAATAGGCTTTCAACTATTTCCTTACTTTTTCCAAAATGTTCTATCATGACATTTTCATGTTGTTCTAATAATAAATTTTTTTGTTTTAACTCACAAACCATACATTTCAAAGACATAAGTTGTTTTTTTTTTGCTGCAATGTTACCTTTTGTAGTTTTCTTATTTTATTACTTTTCAAAACATTTTCCTCCTGCAGTTCAGTAATTTTCTTCTTCAGAATTTGTTTTCGAGGAGTATCCTCATCTAAACTCTTCACAGTTGAGGAAATAACTGGTACAGGAGAAGAACACTAAAGTGGCCGAGAAGGTTTTGGAACGGCCAATAAGTCTATTTCCTGAAGAACCTTTCTTTGTTTTACAGCCTGAAAATTTGGCACATCTACAGGCATTGTTACTTCAGGGCTTCAGGATTGTAAATTCTGTAAATAAATAAAAAAAAAAAAAACAAACCATATTTATATACTTTAGGACTATTTAGTTCAGGGTTTAAAAAAAAAACTAAGAATTAAAAAAATATATAAATAGGTTTTTAGGTTATGTCAAAAGTTATTATTAAAGTTAAACAAAAAATATAAGTAAATTATTTTATTTTATTAAAAAAATCACATTTTTTAATTTGTCACTATAATTAATATCAAGAAGAATTGATAAAATGTTTGCATTTGTTTTTATATAATTTTTATACCTTCTCTCCCGAGAGTTGATTAGTAAAATTGTGAATTCATAATATTTATTTTATAAAACTTAAAATTGCTGAATTATCACTTTTAGGTTTTTTAAAAAAACGTAAAATCCTAGGTTCAAAAAAACCGGTACATGATGATACAGTTAGTAAAGGATTTATATACTTACACCGGACCACTTTTATTGTTGGAACAGCTGTTGGTAGAAGTCTTATTTTCAGTTTTGAGGTACGATCAAAACAATCTGCTTTAAAATGGCGTGAACACAAAAAATTAAGAGATTTTGGCTCAGAATGTGTTTCTTGCATGAACTCAAGCCATAACTTTCTTTTTTGAGATTCTTTAGGAAATCTGAAAATTGTTTACCTGGGATTAATTTATATAATTTGTAAATCTAGAATATTTAAGAAATCTGAAAATTATTTACTTGCAATCAATTTATAAATCTAAATTGAACGATAATTTATTCATTTTAACAACCACATAAATATTTTAAAATTGCCTAAAAGAATTGTTTAAATAGAATCTGTATGTATATCCTATAAACCATGAGACTACCCTTATGAGCACAGTTGATCGCAAACGTACTTACCATGTTTGCTTACAAATTTAAAACTTTAAATATTTAAAAAATCTTTAATGTGGTTGATAATTGAAAGAACAAAATACTTGCTTATGAAATGTACTTTCTTCCTCTCTACTTTTAGCTGTGCTGCTGTATCCACAAGAGGAACAACTAACCATATTGTATTGTTTGTCTTTTAACACAGAAAACTTAAAATTAACACTAATATCAACTAAATACTAAAACACTAAACAATTTTTAAAAATGTCTACAAAACATACGCTTGATAAAAGTTTAAATTAACACATAAAACATCCAAATTATTAACAAAATTTAATCAATAAAATTAGGAACCAATTTTTAAAGCCATTATTTATCAGATGATGAGTCATCCATAGTACAACATGGCTACCAATTCCGTCAGATTGATTATATTAACGCGGACATGGCATGCTGCTTGCTGACTATATATATTCTAAGATATTACTAGTTTTGTTCATATTTCAAATGCGACAGTTAGATCTATTTAATTATTAATAAATTTCAATATAGAAAATCAATATCTTCGGGTATTAAAAATTAGTTTTCTCTCTTTAATCTGGTCTTATGATACTAAATAAACAAATCAGAAATAAATAGTTTTTAATGATGTATGTTAATTTCAGAAACGTATCCACCATAGGATACGCTCAGCTAGAACCACGAAGGGCTACGCTTACTTACGAAGCAGGAAAGTTAAAGCTTTTTATACCATTATTGACAATATGCCATTCGAAGTGGGCGCTAAAGCCTTACTGCAAACTTCTGGTATTGGAAAGCTCTGTCCCAATGTACTAATGATGGGGTACAAAAACGACTGGCAGATATGCGGCAAAGAAGAATTATTGGCTTATTTTAATGTTTTACAGTAAGTTTTTTAAAGGTTAAGCAATCTTACTTATTTCTTGAAGCACATATTTTGATTTTATTTTACTATACGGAGAATGGTCGCACTGCGCAGCTTTCTGAGTGCCTTTTAAAAGGAGATAGAAAACTCCGCCATTTTAATCCCTTATTACGTGTTGCCTACATCTTGGCGCAATATTTTTAATAGGTGCGTTTTAATCATCCGCTTCTGCTTCGGAATTGTCGGTTTTATTGTTTTAATCTGACAGGTTAAAACGACTAAACCGACAATTCCGGAAGCAGAAGCGGATAATTAAAACGCACCTGATATTTTGCTTGCTGCTGTCAGTGAATATTATTTTTGGAGTCACAGTTTATTGCTAAAGAATCAGTTAGCTCACTCGGACCAGTTAAAAGTTCCAAAATAACATCCACTCCAGGGATACAAATTCAGAATACGCAGAAGACTGCTGTTTTATTGTAGGCGGTTGCCATATATTGTATTATCCGAGTTGCGCAGTGTATAAACTAGAACATTGAGATCAAAAGTGCCGACGCAGAGTGAGCGATCTGATTCTTTAGCTATAAACTGTGGCATAGGAATCAAAATGGCCGCGCCCTATGTTGGGCGTGTCGGACCTCTCTCTTGCACCGTATAGTAATCAAAGTACGTGATTGGAAGACATTGGCATTCCAAAGTCATTGAAAGAGTGTTCGCGACATATACTTTGATTTTCTTTTACTATACGGAGAATGGACGCACTGCGCAGCTTTTTGAGTGCCTTTTAAAAGGAGATAGAAAACTCCACCATTTTGATACCTTATTACGTGTTGCCTACATCTTGGCGCAATATTTTTAATAGGTGCGTTTTAAATCCGCTTCTGCTTCGGAATTGTCGGTTTTCTTGTTTTAATCTGACAGGCTAAAACGACTAAACCGACAATTCCGGAAGCAGAAGCGGATGAATAAAACGTACCTGATATTTTGCTTGCTGCTGTCAGTGAATATTATTTTTGGAGCCACAGTTTATTGCTAACGAATCAGTTAGCTCACTCGGACCAGTTGAAAGTTCCAAAATAACATCCAAAGTGCCGACGCAGAGTGAGCGATCTGATTCTTTAGCTATAAACTGTGGCATAGGAATCAAAATGGCCGCGCCTTATGCTGGGCGTGTCAGACCTCTCTCTTGCACCGTATAGTAATCAAAGTATGTGGTTCGCCATCTATCATTTTAAACAGCAAGTAATAGAAGCAGGATTTTATTTTAAAGGAATCTCTTAATTTGTCATTATATAAGGTTACGGCGTCAGCATAAATTTCTTCTTTTTTCTTTGTCTATTTCTATTGTTGTATCTACCCAGTTCAAGTGTTTAGTTTTTAAAATACTTTTTTTTATAAAAACACGCCTTTTTGAAAAGCCTACTAGACAACAGATAGTGCTAAGTCCATTCAGCTAAAGAAGGAGACAAGGAAAATAGAAAATTTTGTTGTGCCGTAACCTTAGATAGACTGCCGAAACTTAGTCGCTGTAGACATGCCTTAACCTTCTAACAGAAATTTAGAAGAAGTATCAATGAAGTAATCTAAAATCAAAGTATGTGAGTAATCTTCTCATTTAAGTATTCTTTTGTTTTTAGTGCTGCGCTTGATCATAGAGTTGCAGTTACAATTTTGAGATTGGGAGACGGATTAGATCATAGCAAATTATTAGATGATGAAGACCAGGTTCCAGTAAACAACGATTCAACTTTGACTCCAGCAACCAGACATGATTTCAGAACTTCTATTTCCAGTAATATTATGCACGCCGACTCTAATCTGAGCCTAACGACTGTGGGTCTCCCAGACAACAATTTTAACTTAAGTAAGTTTAATTTTACTAATCTAACATTCTAAGAGGTACCTAAAAGAATATTTTTACAGTGATTGATGATGAAAAGATGGCAGTCTATATAAATACGTGTAATATAAAATGTTTCTAGTTAAAATAAACGTGTGACGTTTATTTTGACCATTTAGCTAAGTCGATTTAAATTACTGAATTACCTTTTGCTAATATCAAAATGTTATATGTCCTTTCATGAAACTTTTCCGGCTTTGATCTAATAAATAATATAAATTCAATTATCTTTGTGACATTCTAGATTTCCAAACTCCTGCTGGCTCGACCAACGCCAAACCAAAGAAACAGCGCCCAGGTCTAAACGAAATTTTGGTGACGTCTCCAGATCAATTCGCCAAACTCGAAGAAAGGGTAGATATGTTCAGAAGAAAACAACCCAAAGGTTTCATCGACGTGTGGTGGTTGTACGATGATGGAGGCTTGACAATGCTGCTTCCTTATATTATTTCTACCAGAAACAGTTGGTCTAGCTGCAAACTTAGAGTCTTTGCTTTGGCGACTAACAAGAATGAGCTAGAACTTGAAGAACGAAAGTAAGTAAACGACTGATATTGATTCGTTTTCTTTTTATATTATAGTAATATTGCAGATAATCGTATTCTTAGAATTCTGGAGTTAAAATTTGTTGGGATTCAAAACGCCGTCCTTTATCCACAGGATCTAACACAATTCAATATTTTTATCAATATCAGTTTGGCAGTTACAAGAGAATAAAATCACATACACACTATATCTAACGCTAAATTCACACGACGTACAATATGCCGTACTGCGAAGTCTACGCAATGACGTGCGGCATTGAAATACATTTATTTAAACGGTGGAATTCACAGAAATGTCCAATTAGCAGTCACTGCAAATATGTCTTGCAATGATTTCGATATATGCAGCAGAACTTCTACAACGTGCGTGAATAATATGCACACGTTGCTGAATAACTTTAAAGTAACTTTGATAGTACATACGGACGAAATAGTTTACGCCCATTGTTTCCAAATTTAATATAAGCTATTCTACGCACAAACTACAAAACAAAAAATATGCCATTGCGTTCAACCAAACGAATATATTTTATATCCATTCTACCTAAAGAACACTTTCAATTCTAGTATGCGCTAGTTCAGTGATGATGTAATTATGGTTCCACTGACAATTAAAGTGACAGTAGATTTACCTAAATTATATCGTTTTTTTCACTTTTATAAATATATTCCTAAAGTAAGTAGATAGCTATCAAATATACAATCGTATAGTTACCATTTACATACCTTTAAACTATTTTTTATGACTTGTAAAAAATATTTTGAAATAAAATAAAAACAGTAAAAACGTATATGTCAAATTTATTGATGTTTTTGTTAAAAGTTTGGTTAGAATTAAATGTCAGTGGAACCAAAATGACATCACACTGAACTAGCGCATTGGAGAATAATTATAATAGTTTGTGCAATAAGAGTATAATGGAGTATAAATTTGAGCACGACTAGGCGGAGTGCTCAATCATCTGAGTGCGATACGAACAATCCACTCGAGTTGCACAGTATATTTTTTCTACGATCCACTAACGAAAATATAAAAAATTTAAAAATTATTTTAGGTAATTAAAAAAATAATAATTTAATTATTAGTCTCTTGTTCTAGAATTAAATCCGGAACCTCTGCGTAAAAGCCAAATGACCTAGTCACTGCTCCATCACCACATATCATATTTTAGTTTTAATACTCGTAATTAGGGGGTGGGTGGCTCTGTGGTAGAGTCTCTGCCTGCGGATCCAAGGGTTCCAGGTTCGAATCCCACCGTTGGCCGGGATTTTTTTATTTAATTTAATTAATTTAAATTAATTCTGATGCCTTGGTAGGATTCTCCACTCGACCATTCACTGTTGGGTTTTTATTAACAGTGCTGTTCCTAAAAGTGGTGCTAGGAAACAGTAACAAAGCCTACACAGAACACGATGCGAAATATCCTTAGCAGTTAAAGCCGATGACACACACAAAAAAAATACTCGTAATTATTTTGTTTCCGTATAGTTTTATTAAAATTTTTAAATCTAGACGAAATAATAATATAAATTTATCGATTCTACACAAAAATAACTCATTTTAATGTATATTTAATCTCAATAACTAAAAAACTTCGAATACATCTCCACGTACTATCCAAATCCCAAAAATTCACCTCTCTCTATCCAAATTTTTAAAAAATTCTTATAATCATACTCTCCTAAGAACCAAATATTACGAACTTGTTTCCAAATTTCCAAACTATTCGCAAATCTTCACCGATGCATCAAAGTCAGACCAAGATGTAGCAGCTGAATTTGTACAAAACGAGTATACCTCATCATACAGACTTCACCAACACTCTTATTCCATCTACACAGCAGAATTGTATGCTATCTTAATGGCTCTTAAATATTGCAATAAACTCAAAAATATTGATACTGTCTGACTCTCTAAATGCTATGGAAGGAATAAAACAGATATATCCAACCCATCTACATATCAAAAATGAGTTACAACGCCTAGCATATCGGAGAATAGACATATAGTTTATATGGATTTTCTCTCATATTGGAATTCCTTCCAATGAAAAAGTAGACCAAGTAGCCATTGGAGCCGTATCAAACACCAGTATCCCATTCCTTAAAACCGATTTTAAAACAGTAACCAAAAAACATACAAACACTATATGGTAACAAGAGTGGGAACAAACAGAGTCCAAACTTAAAGAAGTCCAGCCACAATTAACAATGAAACTATAATATACCTTACAAGCCAAGGGACCAAGAGGTGATAAACCCAATATGAATAGGCCACTCATCTCTAACACACCAATATATTTTCAAGAAAGAACCACCCACCAACGCCAAACCTGCCAAAGTTCATTGAGTGTAAAACATCTAGTGACAGAAAGTGCAAATTTCATTGCAGAAAGATCTCAATATGATATAGATAATAATATAAACATTCTATTAACTCAAAAATGTGACAAAATTTTAGAAGTTCTCAACTCCAGTAACCCAGACAGCACAAGTCAATCCATTGAATGTCCAAAGGACGTCCAGCATTTTACCGAAGGACATCCAATGGACATCCACTGGACTATACAAATGTCCCACTCCTGGACGTCCATGTGGACTCCATGAAAGGTCCATATATGGACTATTTTTGTATTGCTTTTGGACAATTTATGGACATCTGACGGACATCACCACCTATATTAATATGAAATAAAATAATTGCAACTATGGACTTATTTTTAGTGTCATAAATAATATCAAGCATGTATTAGTTTTATACGCGCTCCTTTCTGTTAACCTTCTCAGCCATTTTCTTAAGGCTATTTCGCTTACTTTTTAAGCAGCACCATTGTCACTCTCAGCAGCAGCTAAAAAAAGACTACATTTTATACGAATATTGAGTCTTAAGTCAATCGTTTAATACACGCCTGATCAGGAAAAACTGATAGTTAAAAATGTAAAACTTTTAGATAAAATGTTATTAACTAATATGAAAATATGCATTGATTAATGTACTTTACCTCTATACTTACATATAAACAAAAAACTGCTTATTATTTCTTTAAATTACCATTTTACTTTCATACCATCATATTATGCAAATTCTTTTGAGAGGATATTAGAAATTATGGAAACAAAACATCTTTTCATAAGTTCGTCATGTCCATGTCCCTGGTTTTGGTAACTGCTGAATCTAAAATTGCAATAAATATATGTATTTGTGAACATTAAAGAGAAATAACTTATGAAACCACTTTCAATGCATTATTTCTTAAACTTTATGAAACGATTCTATTTTATTTAATAAAAGTAAAACTTACAGCTTCTTTAAAAATATTTGTATCTTCTAAATAGCCTCTTCTGCTAACGTCTCATGCCATACAAATAGAAACTTGAATTTTGTTCTTCTCCTTTGAAAGTTTTCTCACCTTTTAGTTACAATAATAATTGTGTTGACATCATCTCGAATTTGCAGCATATTAGTTAGCTTTTAGTAAAGCCATTTTCTTAAATAGGTAGGAAAATCGTTTGACAAAAGGTCTAAAAGAAAGATTCTTTGAATAAATCGAAAATATAAAGTTTAAAACATAATTGATAGGTTATATTAGTTTAAAACAAACGATTTGCTTCTTAATTTATGGATTTTTTAAATAATTTAATGTTAATTATACTTATTTTCTTACCAGATAAACATTATCTATCGGCTACATGTGGGATGTTCTCTTCTTAATCTCTTTCTTTTACTGGCTGAATGACAAAAGTCCAAGCCGAAAAAAAAAAACCTCTTTCTTCTTTTCTTCTTCGAGTCTGGTTTGAATGGCCTTTTACTTTTTTATCTTGTCAACAGAGGCGTTAGGAGGGGAAAATTAATTGATTTATTTTCATTAAAACGTTGTAAATAATTAAATTATACAAGAAGAATTATAATAATTTATTATAAGTTAGTCATTTTTATAGTGTCCCTCGTGGACATTTATTGGACATCCATTGGACGTCTGAATGGGTATATCCATTGGTTAACAGAAAATGGATGTCCAATGGACATCCATATAAAGTTCATGGACATCCAGAACATTATTTGGACAAAATATGGACGTCCAATGGACGTCGTGTGCTGTCTGGGAACTTGTACTTTAAAATTCATTTTTGTTCGTATTAATAGCCTTATAGACTGTCAGATAGTGACATTTTTGCATACAAGCCTCGAACAGGGTTGAAAAGTACATCGATTTTAAGTAGAATGAAAGAAAATTTACGAGTGGCTCCTGGGGATAACACATGGAAAATTTGATTTTTCCTAACAAAAATGAAAGGTTATTTGTTGCCCATATTTCCACACAAGTCGTCGTTTTCACTATATGATTAATTAATAGAACTAAGCTTCGGAAAACCCGATTTTTCCACACAAGCCTATCGAATGTATAAAAACGTACATCGTCACTAGTCCGGAAAACATATTTTCTTGAATGTATGAGTGCATTTTGGGGTCGGAAAATTTTTCTGATAAGGAAAATCTAATTTTCCATGTGTTATCTCCAAGAGCCACTCGTAAATTTTCTTTTATTCTTCTCAACATCGATGTACTTTTCAACCCACTTCGAGGCTTGCATGAGAAAATGGGGCACCTAAATCGGTCACTATCTGACGGTCTATTAAAGGTTGATGCCGCAAAACAAAACAAAAATAAAAATATACTAACAATTAGTTAGACAATTAGACAATTAGTTAGACAGAATTGTCACTTCGTTTTTGACTTATCGTGCGGACAAAAAAAACGTGACATCGGATGGATGGACGGACGGATAATATTAAAAATTTTGGTTTCTCGAAAATAAACCTATAACATTATTTATCTACAACCACCACAGTAAATCGTATACCTATTACGTATTGTTTTGTTTATAAGTAAATACATAATTACAGATACTGTTACGTAATGAAATCCCAAAATTGTTATGTAATTATATACGGGGTGTTCAAATTAAAGTGTTACAGTTAAATACCGCCGA